GCGGGGCGGGGGGAGGGCCGGGCCGCCCGCTTTGTCCACACCCTGGGGAGGGGGGACGCGGGCACGGCCGCAGACGGGCAGGGACAGGCAGGCAAGGCACCGCTGTCCTCGCTTCAAGCCTTCCCCGGGGACACGACATCCCCCTTCCTCCTCACGGGGCGGTTTTACCACAAGCTTTGGGGAGAGGCAGCACCTTTTTTTCCGTCAACTCAGTCTCAGTCAGGACCCTAAAACAAAAGTTGGTGCGACTGTTTTGGGGTTTTTTGTTTGTTTGTTTTTTAAACTAAAAAGATTGCCTGCGCTTCAGTGTGCAAAAAGGGATTCAAGTAGGGAAGTGATCTTGCCTCTGTAAACAGCACTGCTAACATGACCACTAGTGACTGGTTCAATTCTGGGAGAGAGACTTCGAAAATGATGCAGACATACTGAAGTGTCTTTCCAGCCTTTGTGTGAATCACCCCCTCCCCTCCAAGTCCTATGCAGGTCTGTCTTGCACAAACTTTGGGGAAAACAGGAATGTCTCTACCCAAACATTGTATGTGCTTTTGCGCTTAGACCAAACAGGCCACGGCCTTGATTCCTGAACACCTGCATTAAGAAATACAAAACTCTAGACCTCTCAGTTCAGAGATGATGCCTTTTATTAGGCCAACTACAACATCACAAAAAAACAAAACAAAACAAAAAGTATGTTTCTGCAGGCTTTTGGGTACACATGCACTTCCTCCCACTCAGGGAAAATTAAAGGTGGTAAAAAGTCCTCATTGATTCATAGATGTTAGGGTCGGAAGGGACCTCAGTAGATCATCAAGTCCGACGCCCTGTTTTCTTCATAGGTAGAAAATAAACTTCATTTTTACACAGAGGAAGCTGAAGGGGGAAGTCTGTCCCTCTGGGTCCATGAGAGTCTCTATGTGAGTTGCTCATAAGTGCGCAGATAAGGCAGGATTCCTTCCCCTTCTCAGCTGGTCTAATAAAAGGGGTCATCTCTGAACTAAGAGGGCTAGAGTTTTGCATTTCTTTGTGTCTCGGACCAACACGGCTACCAAATACAACCCAGAACACAAGCTTGACTTCCAAGACTTATTTACCTTGGCAGCTCCTGGCTTTGGGACCCAGGCTGAGGAAAGCACAACTGGCCAAAGCTATCTTGTGGAAAAGAAAAGAGAAAACCCACTTTCATCTGATTAGGGACACAAGGCCTCAGGCAGCTGTCTCCAGAAAATAAAGAAGGGTGTTTGTGCCCGAAAGCTTGCAAAGAACAATTTTTCCAACTATTTAGTCTGTCTAATAAAAAGTTATCACTTCTACCCAAAGAACTTTGTCGTCCAAAAACTGTGGCACTTCATTCAACACAAGCTGCTGTTTGATGCAATCAGAAATAAAGCCCGTTTCTGTTACAATCCTGAACATTTGTAAAGTGTTCATTTGGAGCATGTGAAACACTCAGGTACAACAGGGAGGAGTATCAGAAAATAGGCTCTCTGCTTCCTGGAAATTACTGCCATATCATTTGCTCTAGATAAATGCAAAGTAGAACTTTGAAAGTAGAAATGTAAAGGCAGAACAATTTCTGGCTTATTAGTTACCCTTTAAACTGGTTTCAAGTCTCTTGTTCAGCATGGTAGTACAGATGTAGCCTTTGTTAACAGGTTTTGAATACTTTATATCCTGCTGCCCCTTCTCTAGGTGCTGGTGTCTGGCTCTGACAACTGTTGCACCTCTGCTGAGCAGCTACAAATACCCCACGCCATGCAGGTTACCCTCTCAGTAGACAACAAAATCAACTATGTGGGATTTGGGTATGTTCTCAAGGCATGTTGAACCTGCACAAGGCAGTGCTATGCAGAGCTAGTCAAACAAACTCTGAGGGGGCTCACTTAGGGCCAGGAAGCAGATAGACAATTGCATATTAGCACAAGGCTTCACCCTCCTTTCAAGTGGGGTACATTAGCCTGGATGGAATATTGTGATAACACTTTTTTTTTTCTTTTAAGGAAAATTGTTAATGTTCCAAGTCAAATCAGCCAAATCAATTCCAAATCCATGAGTCATTCAAGAACCAAATGTGGCTCTATTACCAGCAAACATCCTCCACCCCTGCCTGGGGCTTCAGATGCTTCCAAATCCTTTGCCAGGCATCCTACATGCAGACCCAAGCCCAGAGGCTTGCGGTTTGGAAGCCCCCGAGTTTGGCTTGCCCTAGGCCATATGGCCGCAGGAGCAAGCTAGGAAGGAGACTCCCACTTCCATAAAGTCAGTGTGCAGCTGAGATCCACCTACTGGTAGCCAAGATCCTCCTACTGATCCTCATCTATGGTGGTGCAGTCACCTACCTGGTGGTTTTCAAGAGGAGACTGGACAGTCACCTTGCTTGGAGTCACTTGACGCCAGTTGTCTTCCTGCCGAGAATGGGGGGGGCTGGACGCAATGATCTGCGAGGTCCCTTCCAGCCCCTAACAATCTATGAATCTATGAATACTGGAAGGTGGGCAGTGGGAAGCTGACTAACCATGAGGCTCTCAGAGGGAGTCTTGTCCACAAGCAGACAAGGGTGCAACCCTCCACTATGCAGTACCATTTTAATTGTATTACCTTGGTCAGGGTAATTCCCCTGCCACCATCGTGGTCATGGTATTTCCCCTGCCAGACCTGCTGCCCAGAAAGGGGTCTCCAAGGACTGCCACCTCTACGCAGAATCTTGCACAACAAAACTCAGCACCGGATGCCTGATATAACAGCGATGTCTGTCATGATAATATTATGAAGAGGTTTACACCTATCTAGCCCACTTAAACTGGGACACTGAACAATTCAGATTTAAATACTGGAAACAATAAATTAGCTGCAGGCTGTCAAGAAAGCAACATTCGAAACCAGGTGCCCTTGAAAGCACTCTATTTATTATCCAACTCAAGTTTAGACTCAGGTGAAAACAAACAAGCGAACAACTCTTTTTTCTTATGTTATAAGCCTGAAGCGGCAATTTATTTCCCCAGACATAACTGGGCTAATTAATAATAATAATAATAATAATAATAATAAAAAAGCCACACAGTCAAGCCCCCCTTTCCTCTTTGTCCTAAATTGTACAATTGTGACTAGGACAGGCAGTTTGCACTCAGACTGAACCTGAATCAAGCATCACCACCTTGTTCTTCAGTGTATGGGAGAGGTGGGGAATGGTGCCAACACTATTTTGACATTCTCTTCTTCTTTTTCCTCAGATTCCCAAAGAAACAGCTGTAAGAGTGGCTGCTTTGGAGATACATAAGTGAGGATGCTCTTGCGAAAGTTGGACTATATACCTCAAACTGGGGCAAACCTTAATTTGGGGAGTTACTTTCTGCACTAAAGACCAACAGCTAAGGAAAACACTTGGCTGACTCATTTTTTACCGACAAGATGTTCTACAATCTTTCCATGACACGATACAAGTTGCAGTGTTTAATTATTACTAGCCAAACAAGTTTGTATTAATAAATCACACCTTCCAGATATTCATATTCCTGAAGAGCAACTCCATTCATCTTGACTTCATCCAAGCAACCACACAGAACCTTTTAAGTGGATAAGGAAGAAAATGGTTACATTTATTTATTAAAAGGGCATGGATGGGTTGGGCGGGGGGAGATGCTAAGAGATAGTAAAGTGCAGACAGGTAGAGCTGTTTGTTTCTTATGTCAGTCATGCAGATGTCTTATCAGTGTTTAAATAGTGTGTTGTTTGGTAATTTAGAGAGATGCACCAAGTGTTTGCTTTAGATTAACCAGTTTGAAACTGTTCTTAAAAAAGGAAAAACAGAATAAGGATTCTGCTCTGGTACATCAAAACTGCAGGGGAAAGTGTCAGAAAAGGCAGCAGTAGGCTTTAATGTGGGCTTCAAATAATATTCCCCACAAAGGGGGAACAGCTAGAATGATGCTGAAGGGTCATAGGGAATGAACTTTAAAGCCCAAGTGAACTCTAAGTCCAAGTCTGCAGATCTCAAATATTCCACAAGAACCATCCTCTTGGTTCCCTTTCACTTTAAAAAACATGAGTTGTTTAAGCATCACAGTAATGTTACTTGAAGTGGGAAAGTGGGGTGCCAGCCTCAGGCACAAATTTAGATGGGGACTCTGAAGTAGTTCATTAGAGGCAGATCCTGTCAGACCAACATGGTGGCCTTCTACAACCAGGTCACAAAATCCTTGGATGCAGGTGTCATGGTGGATGTAGTTTTTCTGAACTTTAGGAAGGCCTTTGACACTGTCTCATCCCATTCTCATTTAAAAAATTAGGCGACTGTGGTGTGATGCCTACAGTCAGATGGGTCGCAAATTGGCTGGAGGGCCGCACCCAGAGAGTGGTAGTGGATGGGTCATTTTTGACTTGGAGAGATGTGGGCAGCGGGGTTCTGCAGGGCTCGGTCCTCAGGCCCGCAGTGTTCAACATCTTCATCAGCAACTTGGACGAGGGGGTGAAACGCACCTTGTTCAAATTTGTGGATGACACTAAGATGTGGGGAGAAGTGGGCACACCAGAA